CTGGAGTTGTGTGAAGAAAAAAAAAACCTCTCTCGCGGCGGAAAGGCCAGCCGCTGAGAGAGGGGGTGCACACATTACTCAAACAATATAAAATGTAGGCAGCGATCATCCAACCATCCATCCAATCATCCATCCAACCATCCATCCAACCATCCAGCCAGCAGTAATGAAGAGGTGGCCCTGAACGAAACACACACACACACACACACATGTTCGTTCATACGTTTGCGCCTTCAAGTGTGTCTCTGTCTGTCTGTGTGTGGCTCTCTTCTCCTCTTCCCCCTCTCCACTGACCTGTCAGTCAATGAATGGGTCGATGTGTCGTGACCAAGAAGGAAAGGGACAAGAGACAAGACTTCCCGCGTTGTAAATAATTGCAGAGACTGGAGTTGTGTGAAAAAAAAAACCTCTCTCGCGGCGGAAAGGCCAGCCGCTGAGAGAGGGGGTGCAAACATTACTCCAACAATATAAAATGTAGGCAGCGATCGATCTGGAGAAAGCACATCCTCCATCCCCCCATCGATGGATCGAGTGACTCGCGCCCTGAACACACCATAGACAGACAGACAGACAGACACACGCAGCCAGCAACCAACCAAAACGCCGTGAGTGAGTGAGCACACCTCTGTCGACGAATGAATGCGTGTGTGAGGGACTGACTGACTGACTTACCTCGAGAGGGGCAATGCATTCTGTCAAATCCACGGCCATCCGATCTTCTTAGTCCGGTACGAATCAACGCCGTGACGACAACTACACAAAGACTCGACTCCCCACACTTAGGCTTGCCGACCATCCATCCATCCAGCAGTGATGAAGAGGTGGCCCTGAACGAAACAAACACACACACACACACATGTTCGTTCATACGTTTGCGCCTTCAAGTGTGTGTCTGTCTGTCTGTGTGTGGCTCTCTTCTCCTCTCCCCCCTCTCCACTCACCTGTCAGTCAATGAATGGGTCGATGTGTCGTGACCAAGAAGGAAAGGGACAAGAGACAAGACACAAGACACAAGACTTCCCGCATTTTAAACAGAAGACTGGGGTGCAGTAAAGAAAAAGGCGGGTTACAATGTCGGGGGGCAGAGAGAGGAGGGCACCGACATTGTAACCCGCCGTGCACACCCGTCCGGATATAAAATGTAGGCAGCGATCATCCAACCATCCATCCAACCATCCATCCATCCAGCAGTGATGAAGAGGTGGCCCTGAACGACACACACACCCACACACACACACACATGTTCGTTCATACGTTTGCGCCTTCAAGTGTGTCTCTGTCTGTCTGTCTGTGGCTCTCTTCTCCTCTCCCCCCTCTCCACTCACCTGTCAGTCAATGAATGGGTCGATGTGTCGTGACCAAGAAGGAAAGGGACAAGAGACAAGACTTCCCGCGTTGTAAATAATTGCGGAGACTGGAGTTGTGTGAAAAAAAACCCTCTCTCGCGGCGGAAACGCCAGCTGCTGCGAGAGAGGGGGTGCACACATTACTCCAACAATATAAAATGTAGGCAGCGATCGATCAGGAGAGAGAAAGCACATCCTCCATCCCCCCATCGATGGATCGACTGACTCGCGTCCTGAACACACCATAGACAGACAGACACACGCAGCCAGCAACCAACCAACGCCGTGAGTGAGTGAGCACACCTCTGTCGACGAATGAATGCGTGTGTGAGGGACTGACTGACTGACTTACCTCGAGAGGGGCAATGCATTCTGTCAAATCCACGGCCATCTGATCTTCTTAGTCCGGTACGAATGAACGCCGTGACGACAACTACACAAAGACTCGACTCCCCACACTTAGGCTCGCCGACCATCTATCCATCCAGCCAGCAGTGATGAAGAGGTGGCCCTGAACGACACACACACACACAGACACACACACACACATGTTCGTTCATACGTTTGCGCCTTCAAGTGTGTGTCTGTCTGTCTGTGTGTGGCTCTCTTCTCCTCTCCCCCCTCTCCACTCACCTGTCAGTCAATGAATGGGTCGATGTGTCGTGACCAAGAAGGAATGGGACAAGAGACAAGACTTCCCGCGTTGTAAATAATTGCAGAGACTGGAGTTGTGTGAAAAAAAAACCTCTCTCGCGGCGGAAAGGCCAGCCGCTGAGAGAGGGGGTGCACACATTACTCCAACAATATAAAATGTAGGCAGCGATCGATCAGGAGAAAGCACATCCTCCATCCCCCCATCGATGGATCGAGTGACTCGCGCCCTGAACACACCATAGACAGACAGACAGACACACGCAGCCAGCAACCAACCAAAACGCCGTGAGCGAGCACACCTCTGTCGATGCGTGTGTGAGGGACTGACTGACTTACCTCGAGAGAGACAGTGCATTCTGTCAAAAGCACGGCCATCAGGAGAAAGAATCAAACTTCCATCATCTGCACACAAGCATGCCGACAGGGCACAGTGAGATCACCACAGCAATGAAACGGACCACGCAGTCATCCTCGAATATCATCCACACACCATACCGACACCGCAGCCAACCAAAAGAAAAAAAGATATGACACGCACGTGGACTCACCTGAAAAGATGTTTGAGTTTGAAGACAAAAGAAGGCGTGCGCGCACTCAGCTGACGCCAGACAGGTGTCAGGTAGTCTCCACCCATTCAGCAGAAGAAAGGGCGCCAGCAACCGGCTGAGGCACTCGCGGCACGGCGGTAGAGGACGAAAGTGGCAGGCAGACGACACTCGGACAAGTCGGAGCGGGAGGGGATGGGCGGACCACACAAGCCAACGACCATTCGCCAAGGGAGGAGGGAGGCTCAGGCTGATGTCAGCGACTGACGGGCGGGCGGGTCAGGGGCGGTCAGGTGGACTCGTCCTTTTCAGAAACGGCGCAGGGGGGGCTGTGTCGGCCTCGGGCGGGTGGCGCCCGACCTCTCCCGCCGAAAAATGAACAGAAACGAAGGAGATGTGAGGCGAACAGTGGGAAATGAGGACAGCTGGCGTGGAAACTGTCCGCTGCTTCCTTTTCTTGAAAAGACCGTCTCGGGACGGCGAGAATTCGAATGCTCGCCGCGATTCTCGCCACAAGCTCGCACGTCTTTTTCCGAAGCCCTCCTTGTTGGTAACGCCACCCTCTCCTTTTCATCATTGTCCTCAAGCTGTCCATTGTGAAGTTGACTGACTTACTGGCTTGCTGACTTACTTGAGAGAGACAAGGCCTTGTCGACAAAAAGGAGACGGCCATCAGGAGAAAGAACCAAAATCCCACCATCTGCACACCAGCATGCCAGCAGGGCACAGTGAGATCATCACAGCAATGAAAGAGACTACGCCAGTCATCCTTGAACATCATCCAAACATTATACCATTACCTTAGCCAATGAGGGGAGGTTTTGAAGGCAGAAGAAGGCGTGCGCACACTCAGAGTTGACGCCAGACAGGTGTCAAGAGCCGCCACTGATCCAGCAGGTGGGCTTGGCGCTACCGGCCGAGGCCTCGCTCGTGGCACGGCGGTAGAGGAAGGAAGCTTTTCATCCGGACGAGTTGGGAGGGGCGGGAGGCGATGCGGCGGACCACACCAGCCAAAAAGCAGGTGAAAAGAAGAAGACGCGGGGGATCTGTGGTGGAAAGAAGGCTGGAAAGCCGACCGTGGACAGAAAATGTGAACCGTAGGACAAATTTGTGCGTCTCGAATTTATTTCTCGTCCCGTCTCCAATTCTCGCCGAGTGAGAAAACCTCCTTCTCGTAAGCCTTTTTGTGGCACATGGGCAGCCAGTAAGCGAGTGGCTGTTGCTTACGTGGCAGAGGCGACGTCCGTCTCGAATTTCTCACCTGCGCGAAAAGAAGAAGAAGAAGATGCGACGCTCGACCAAAGAGAGAATGAGGGTATCACCAAAAAGCTCGACGTCAGACACACCTTCCATGCGCTATTCCTTGCGGCCATGGTCTCCTCTCTGGATGAAACTCCTCGGCTCCCAACCCACAATATTGCCCAGCAATACCGTATGTTGCCCGCACGACGTCGTTGAGGCAGGCCACTGCGACGCGGGCGGAATGCAATGATCCTGACGAAAGCCGCCGAAGGGAGGAGCGGAATGGAGGAGACGGCAGGCGGAAAAGGCAGTAAAGGCAGTCGGGCGGAGTGGATGGGACGGTCGTGTTTCTTCCTGTCGCGGCCGGGTTTGTCTCGTTTCTCGCCATTCTTGACGGGCAAATTCTCGATGAAGGGTTATTCCAGTGTTGTCGCAGGACTGCCAGTGTCTGCGATCGGGACTCAGAGGCCCCCTTGCCCCCAGTCTCAGCGAAGGATAAGAGGCGCGTGTCGATTTTGCCTGCGGGGGCTGCACAGGCGAGAAGGGAAGAGGAGTTTGAGGAGGATAGGCGGAGGAAGAGAAAGACTGAGGCGCTCAGCAAATCGCCCTGGGCCATCATCGACTCACTCAAGGACTGGAGATGGAGACAGGGGCAGCCCAGGGCCTACGTGTGCTGATTGGTACCTGTGGTCATTGCCCACCTGCAGGGCCGTCGTGACTGACTGCCTGACTGCTTTCATGCGTGCGTGTATGTGTGGATGGATGGATGGATGGATGGATGTGGTGTCTCAGGCCTGTCTGTGGTGACACAGCCACAGGCGTGTGGCTGTTGAGCCCTTCTCCTGTTCTGTTCTGTCGGGGTGTGTGTGTGTGTGTGTGTGGGTGTGTGGGTGGGTGGGTCGCATATAGGTATCAGATCTTACACACTCTGAGCTGATGCGCATCGCTCGTCAATCAAGAGCAGCCCAGCCGCACTCACACGTAGCCAGACGTATATATGTACATGCTTCCTTCCTTCCTTGGCAGCAAGGCAAGCAGCAACCAATATGGCCCGGCGCGCACCCCGTGACACGCAAGACCTCACTCATCTCACATTGACTACCCACACAAGAAGCATCAAGTGACCTGTCTGACCTGTCTGTCAATGGCCAGACGGATATGTGCATGGGTGGATGACCAAACAACACGCAACACGCAAGGCACACATGAAACAAGAAAGCACCAGCAGCAGCAGCACATGCACATGCATGCCCACACGACACGACACGACACGAGCAATCAATCAATCAATCAGTACACAGAAAGGCTTCTGTTTCGAGTGAATGGGCAACGGCCAAACGAAACAGAAGAGCGAGACAAAGAGGCAAGGCCGAAGAAAGGTAGAGGTAAGGTGAGGTCAAGTAGGTGGCTGGGTGGGTGTCTACTCTTGCTCTTAAACCAACACGTGAGGATACTTGACAGCTGGTGGATACACACGCACACACACACACACACACAGAGAGAGAGAGAGGTGCATGCCATTTGTGTGTGTTGCGTGTCGTGCAGCATGATGGGGGCTGACGGCATGCCATTCTCACCCGACCGATGGTGCCCGGCCCGGGGGTGTGAATGCCATGCCGCGACCAGCCCCGCCCACAAATGCATCAACACACCACACACAGTTCCCCTCCTCTCTCTCTCGCTGTCTGTCTTTTGTGTCAGCATGGGGCAGGCTTCAGCGGCGAGCACTGTCTCTCCATTTAGTGTTCCCCCAGGCGAGGCAGAACCGGCCGCTGGGCGGGTGGATGCAGCTGGCGGCAAACAGGATGCAGTGTGACAACACTGCAACCTGTCTGCCGCCAGCTGCATACCTTGTGTCGGTTCATCGAGGAGGGGTATAGTACATCGGAGAGATTCAAAGAGGGGATCGATTGAAGGAAAGAAGGACGACGGGCAGCAAGAAGGAAAGAAGGACGACAGGGCACTCACCCAGTCACTGCTGACTGCCACAAATCAAAACACTGCAGGCAACGCGCACTCACTCGCTGGCTCATCACATACATCAGCACATCAGGCACCCAGTGCGTATCAATTCCATTCGCGGCAATATCATCTGGGAATGTGTGCAAGGCAAAAAGAGCCCGTCGTCTGCCTGCGTGTCACGCTGCATCACTCCACCTACACAGTTAGCCGCCAATGCAATGCCCAGTAGGGCAAGCAACCCGAGACTTACCGCTATTCCCGCGTGAAACTCATCCCTCTCGCCGCCGCACCTACCGGAAAAAGAATATCGCGGGCTATACACACCACACACTGCCTGCCCCTCTCGTGCAACCACACACAAGACAGCTCAACTACGTGCTGAACTCCTAAGGCAACATCAAGGAAGAACGTCTTTGATGTCGCCGCAGAGCTGGTAGAGTGTGTGTGGACGCCATAGACAAGACATGTAGACACGCACACAGACGATGCCACACAGAGCACAGCAGTCCACACAGAGAGAAAAGGCCGACCAACACACAACAGCCGTCCCCTCACACACACAGAGCGACAGACAGACACACACACAGCGACAGAGAGACAGAGAGGGAGTCCGTCGACTCATCGGCCGATCATCCTGCCTCCCACACACAAATGGATCGACACACACACACTCACACACACACAGACGAGTAGCACTCAGCAGCGGTGGGGGAGAGGGCCATCGCGCCACTCGACGGCCGTATCGTCATCATCAGCGCGGCGAAGCCATCCGCCACTGAGCCAGACAGCCACACCTGCACACAGACAGACAGACAGACAGTCAGACATCTGTGTGTGTCGGATCCCTTTGTGTGTGTCGGCACACCACAGAGTGTCAGTGTCGTTTGCTGTCGATCGGCACACCACAGAGTGGCCAGGCCATTGGACATCTTCCGCCGATGGGCACAGCTCATCGCCTCAACGCCTGACACACACACACACACACACACACACAGACGACAGTTGTCAGTCCACCGACCCCTTCAGCTCACCTCCCCCTTCCTCCCTCCCCCCCCTGTCTGTCTGTCTGTCTGTCTGTGCGGTCCGTACCATCGCTGACAGCCGAGAGAGGGAGAGAGAGCGCCACACCTAAGTCAGATCTGTCTCGTTGTGTGTTGCTGTCGTCAGCTGGCGGCCACATACATCTCCCTCGTCAGTCAGCCAGACGAAGATCTACATGCAGGCGCTTCACCAATATTTACCGACAGGGGAGCTCTCGCAGCTCCTTCATCTCGTGATCTCTTCATCAGCCTGTTGCGTGGTCGCTTGATTGCGCGTTGAGACGCTGGACCAGGCTTTTGGCAATTCGTGAAACCGCTCTTCATCAGCCTGAGCTCGCACCTGTCCTGTGGCCAGAGCGGGTGCAGGAGCGCAGAGGTATGGACACACAACCAGGCAAGGCAGCAGCTGTTACGTCGGTATTGTTTTACACTGCTGCAGATGTGTGTGTGGGGATGAAGAGGACGCGCCCGTCTGAAGGATGCGTCGCCATGGCGGAGGACGCCTTGGCTTCTCCCCCGCCCTCTGTGGACTACGTGCGTCGGCTGCCGGTGTCGGTGTGGCAGGATTTGGTAATCCCTCTCTGCCCTGTCGACGCCTGCGGGCGGCTCAAGATCACCGGGCCGTATGTGGAGCTGCACTTCAGCGAGAAGGCCCTCCTGAAGCGATTCGATATAGCAAGGAAGCGCAACCAGCTGGAGGGTGAGGGTGGCCCACTGCCGCACCGCAGTCGACTCGTAGGGGGCTGTGCTATATGTGTGTTGGTGGCATGTGTTTCTGTGTGTGCAGGCCTCATTGCTCTGGACCCCAGCATTGACGCCGGTAGCCGATATGACATCCTCCTGCGCATCACATATGCACTAGAGTGGGCGAGCAAACACACCACCTGTCAATCAGCCACAAACACGTGTGACCTGTATTGTATTGTGCGTCTGCCTGCGCCACATTAATAGGTGTGGTGACTGGCGCATGTGGCCGTCGTTCCTCCGTCTGGCGACGTGCAACGGCCACCTGCCGCAGGATCGCATCGGTGCCGGTCGGCCGCTCATTTTGACGGCCGACAAGGTGCGGGAGGCCATCCCCACCAGGGCGGCATTCACAAGCACCATGCCACAGCGACTGGCCCAGTTTGGGCTCTTCAGCGTCTTCATGACCAGGGGGTCGCGTAGATTGCCCCGAGAGGTGCGGCCGTCGGTGTATGCCGAGGTCATGGGTTTCGAGCTGACGGTGTATGCCGAGGACGAGCTGTACCACCCCTATGGGGACACTGTGCATCCCTACCAACACACATACTCAGACGAAGGTAGCGAACACACACACACACACACACACATGGGCACAGGCATCTGTCTGTCTGTCTGTCTGTCTGTGTGTGCTACATAGATCCTGTGTGTCGGCGAGGCGAGTACATGTTCCCGTCGTGTATGGCCTTCCTCACCTGGGCAGCAGTGAGCTACCGGTACTGCTTCATTGGCAACCCGAGCAAAGCCATCGCCACACGACGGGAGGAGCCAGGCTGCCGCAAGAGCCACACTTTCCGCCACCTCAGCCGCCTCGCAAACCCTGCAAAGGTCGCTCAGTGGACGACCATCGAGTTTCTGGCGGTATGTTGGAATAAGCCAGCCCAGCTACACACAATCACGGTCACTGCTGGCTGCATATGGCTTTTGTCTGCGTGTCTGTCTATGTGCGTCTTTGTCTGTCTGTCTGTGTGTCTGTGTGTCCACTCCACAGGATTACTTCCACGTGTGTGACGACCGTCGGTACAACCGTGTCTACGTGCTCGAGGGCCACCGGCCGGGCGAGACGATGGCCGTCACCATGCACCTTGGCGGCAACGACCACATGGCCGCCATCGTCTCGACCGAGCCAAAAGCCGAGGACCACAATCAGTGGTGGGCGGCCTACCCCCGATCGGCCGCCGCCGCCAACGCCCTCACCCACGACCTCTGCGAGCCCCCAATGGACGCCAACCGGTTCTTCTAGCCGCTTCAGGAGCCGAGCCGCCAGACAGACAGACAGACAGACAGACAGACAGGGACGTGAGCTGAGCTTTTGGAGCTCACCTCGTTCCAGATAGCTGAGCGAAGAAGAGGGAGGGACAGACGACAGACTGTTCGTTCATGGCGGGATGATGTGTGTGCAGTGTGCAGTATGTGCCTGTTGGTTCGTGTGTGTGCGTGGGCGTGTGTATGGCTGAGACGTTTGATTGTCCGAAATGAACACATGAATGTTTTGAGTCCGCCCGCCCGTACACACCTAGCATTCATCCGCACCATACAAAGAAGACCTCTAGTCATCAGCCAGGCAGGCAGGCAGGCAGCCGGTCGCTGGAGGCCAAATTGACGTACACACATATCGCCTCACCGGCCGTCTAATGGATCCACCAATGCGTCTTGGGGGGAGGGGCTCTCTCTACGACGTCGACAGACATACACCATCCATCCATCCCTCCCTCACTCACTCATTCATCGACCGCACAAAGCACACGCAGTACCGACACGCACCTTAAAATACACACACACACACACACACGATCCATGCCTATATCCATCCATCCATCCACTGCTGGCAAAAGAAAAGGGGTTTCTACCATTGATGGCATCAATCAAACTGCTCCTCGTCCATTTGGCCCGAGTAGTACACACACAAATGAGAGCAAAATGTGCCCACAACAAACAGACGGCGACAGCGATCAACGAGTGATTGATTAAAAGTCATGCTGTTCAGCCAAATTCAACGCAGCCATCACAACACAGACACACACACAGATGCATCCCGACCATCAGGGCAGCGATCGGCACACTGGGTGAGGCCCGGTGTGTGGGTAGTGAAGGCGCGGGGCAGGCTGCTGGGAGACGGGTAAGAAGGAGCCGGGCTGCCAGTGATGCTGCTGCTGCTGCTGCTGGCCCGCGGGCGGGGTCGGCGTGTGTGTGGGTGGCGTTGGTGAGACGTATGGAAAGGGGTACGAATAGGAGACAGGCAGAGAAATGGGCGCCTGCAAGGAAACATGGATCAACAGATACAGCCTGTGTCAGTGGTCTGCGTGCACCATGTGTGTGTGTGTGTGTGTGTTCGTTCTCGTTCACCGCTGGGACAGGCATGATGTGAAAGAAAGGCGCGTGAGTGGGCTGCACGGCGACGCGATATGAGGGTGGTGACGGCTGCAGGCAGACACACAACCCACACAGAGGGAATGGACAGACAATGCGGCTCACGACTTACCACAGACAGACCGATGATTGAGGACGGTTGCCCATACGGCTGGGCGACACGGAGAGGGGTGGCTTGCTGCACGGGGCAGTGCAGCAACAAAAGGAAAAATGCCAGCAGCATCCATCCATCCATCCATGGATGCATCCAAGCATACATATACCCATACATACCTGATGGCGTTGAAACATGACCATCTGACTACGCCCAGGCGCCTGCACACACATACAACGGCGCAGGGAGGTGGGGGAGGCGTGGGTATGAAGGTGCGTGTGCTCTTGCCACCTGAGTGGTGGGTGGCACTTGCGGCGGTTGAGCACCGACACCAGCGCGACCAACGGCCTGATTCATGCGAAGAACAGCATTCACATACGTGTGTGACGCTGTGTTGCGTATGTATGGTGCTTCATCCGACCTCTGCCTCACGCCCATCTCCTCCCTCATCCAGCATCTCAGGTGCCGTCTGCTGCCTGGGAGGCACCATCTCCCGGGCGGAGGATGACTGGTGGCTTGGCGCCTTGGGGACGGCCATGATGGTGTCCTGAAAATATACATTGATAGAATGAAGTCGATCGGCGACCTGATCGTTCGTTTGTACGTGTTACCTGTCCTCTGAGCTCTGCAGGGGGTTCGGGATGCTGAGAGAGGGGGGGTGAAACCCTGCAGAACACACAACACATCCATCCATCCATCCATACGGCGGCCTTAGTGTTTTCACTCACCCTCCAGCTCCTCGTAGCCATGGGTGTCCAAGTGCCCGTCGAGCAGTGCATCGCTGAGCGGGGTCCAGCCGCAGCAACGGCAACAGGAAGGCCGCGAACGCGTCAGCACTCTCCTCATCCATCCCTCTTTCCCGCTGCAGCTCCCCCCTGACAGAACGGCACATCGACGGCACTCGCCCCTTCTTGGCGCAGAGGTGGTAGATGTGGCCAGCCAAAACGTCACAGCCGCCTTCATTGTCGACCTCGGCCTGCTTCAGGAAGGGTTCCTTCACGAGGTCTCTCGAGTAGCGGGAGGCGGCTGACACGGAGTCGCGGGGGCAGACTACCTCATCGACTTGCACCAGCTGCTCTGCATCGCAGCCCCAGCAGAAGGCGAGAGAGGAGGGGTCGGTGCGGCGAGGGCAGATCTCGGGTGTGCTGCACTTGGCGACGTCAATGAGGTGAGTCCCCGCTGCGAGACGGTAGAGCAGACATCCAGCCGCGAAGATGTCAACCGCAGAGGTGCAGTGGTGGCCCAGAACCATCTGCAACACAGAGAACGCAACAGTTCAACACTTACATTTTGTGCTTCGCTTGACCCATCCCTTACCCACCTCGGGGGCGTGATACTGGCGAGTCGTGGGGTCCCTCTCGATGCCACTGTTGTGCTCCCACAGTGCCGTGCTGAGGTCGACTATCTTGAAGTCCACGCCCTCATTGTCTGCGTCGATAGTGTCACCAAGCGGCAGGACGCTGGGTGGCAGCCTGACGGACGTACCGCCCCCAGTCTCGTCCCCTCTCTCTTGCCTGTGGTCGGCCACCCAATGCCTCACTCGTTTCTCCCGCTCCCTCTGTCTCGCCTCCACGTCCATCTTGACCCTCTCCTCGTCTGTGGCGCCATCTCTCTTCGTGCGATAGAGGGCGGTCTTCTCTGTGCTGATGGCTTCGTCTGTCTGCTTGTGGCTGCTGAGGAGGGAGGGGTCGCTGTGCGATGGGTACAGCTCGCCCGCTGGGAGGGAAGGAGACGTGTGGCTGGGGTGGGCTGGTGAAGGTGTGCAGGGATGCGGGCCGCTTGGCGAGGGGATGGTCGCTGCGACCTTCGCCGGCTTCAGATTGCCGCGGAAGACCCCGCAATGGCGATGGAGGTAGTCGAGTCCCAACAAGACGTGCGTGGCGACCTTACGGACGATGGGGAGTGGCACGCCTGCAGACGAGAAGAAGACATATAAGCAATTCGATTGATCCTGTGCATTGCATCCCGCCCTCCCCGACCATGAGGATGCTGCTTGACCAGCTGACGAAGGTCATGCCCGAGGGGCTCCAGCACCAGGCACATGTGCCACAGCACCCCTCTCGCCTCCTCACGGCCATTTGGGTTGGTGAAGTGTCGGTCGAGCAGGACGATGGACGTGGGGCGGGGGCGGTGCGGACGGACTGAAGGGAGAGGGAGGTCCGGCAGCTCACGTTGCAGCTTGTCGAAACTCAACACCCACTCCCTGTCGGCCTTTGTGTTTGTGACCTTGAGGAAGGTGGCCTCTCTGTTGGCTTTCCCCTCCTTGATGCTCATGGCCGCCTTGATGGCCACGAGGCGAGGGCCATCGGTCGCCCGCTCATCCACCGCAAACCACAGCGTTGCTGCATCGCTGAAGCCCGCCTTCTGCAGAATGCGGTATCGACCGTTGTCCAGAAGCGAGCCGACACTGATGTCCATGTAGCCTCCAGCAACATGGTGCTCTGACGGCTCGGTGTCTGATTCTTCCATCTCCCAATCAACCGCTCGAATAGCCTGAACGAGTCACAGATGGCATCGCACACGTGCTCAAGGTTTTCGCCTACCTACCTGTTCGGTCACTTCTCCTTCGGCGAGAACAGGCAGTCGTGAGGCTCCACTCATCGTCAAAGTGATTCAGGAACAGACTCAGGGAAGGAGAGGCATCAACGGCAGAGTTGGATGGTTTGTTTCATCGTCTTGCCGCAAATCACCTCTCAAAAAGACGCACTGAGCCCCCGGAGCATGACGGCGGCCACGTTGCTCCCAGTGGGAGGAACCACTTCGACGAGCAGTTTCACAGAATGTCCCTATATGATCACAGGTACCAATCAGCACATGCAGGCCCTGGGCTGCCCCTATCTCCATCTCCAGTCCTTGAGTGCGTCGACGATATATGAGCGATTTGCTGAGCGCCTTAGTCTTTCTTTTCCTCCCCTATCCCCCTCATACTCCTCATCCTTCTCGCCTGCGCCGCGGCCGCAGGCAAAATCGACACGCGCCGGTCTCATCCTTCGCTGAGACTGCAAGCTGGGGGCAAGGGGGCCTTGGAGTCCCGATCAGACAGTCCTGCGCCCCACTGGCTGCCCATGTGCCACAAAAAGGCTTACGGTGGAGGCTTCGAATTCGAGATCGGCGAGAATTGGAGACGGGAGGAGAAATAAATCGAGACCAGCAAGTTTGTCCCACTTTTTCACAGTTTCCGTCCACGGTCGGCTCGTCAACCTTCTTTCGACCACAGATCCCCCGCCTCTTATTCTTTTCACCGGCTTTTTGGCTGGTGCGGTCCGCCGCATCGCCTCCCGCCCCTCCCAACTCGTCCGGATGAAAACTGCCCCTTCCTTCCTCTACCGCCGTGTGTTATGGTGTGCTTGTGATAGCCACTTGGGGGTGGTGCGCCTGCAGTCAGAGAGACATTGGTGTGAGGCCAGGACCCTCATATGCAAGCAGCGTGCATTGGTGCTCCTGTTGGCCCACCCATGGCGAGTCTCTGGCAGCGCCGTGAGGAAGGCCTTTGCATTGGCCTCGAGAGCATTGCAAATGCCGCCTCTTCTTGTCGTTCTCGCCGGCTTGACACTGTCAGCCATGGCTGCAAGACGCACACACACATCAAGGAGAACGGGAGGCTGCATGCAGACGTGCATGAGCCGATGTGGAGCTTGCAATGGCGCACATACCGGTCCACCCGTGTCCTTGACGCACCCACTCACAGGAAGAGTGCCCACTCTCGTGGCATCCAGCAGGCTGCTCGGGAGGACGGGGAAAGCGAGCTGCTGGGCGGCTGCCGCTCTCCTGCCAGCAAGGATATACAGCAAGAGCGTCCATCTGTCTCTGGCGATGCCCTTGTGCGGTCTTGTTGGCGTGCCGATGGCTGTCGCACTGGCAAGGATACGGACCGGATCGCGTGTGGCGTCGCTGCAGTGGCGAGAGACTGCTGATGCTGACGCTGCCGCTGCCGCATTGTCCGAAGGAGGAGTGTCGAGAAGTGCAAAGACTGGGGGCTCGGTGGAGGGGTTAGCGTGCCTCATCCTAGCCGAGATTTTGTAGATCATAGATTGCATAATTAGCCGGATTCCGTCCATCCATTTCGTGCGCATTCGTCGGCTTTGCGTGGACCTTCTGACTTCGTTCGATTTCCTTCAAAGCTGTGTTGGTTTTGTCGGCATCGATGAGGACCTGCTCGCTGGCTGGCGCCTGGAGGCTCTCCCCGTCACCACGAACCTGACACCCATACGGTAACACACATGACAGATCCAACCACCACCAAGGCAGGCACGTGAGGCTAAGGCAGCAAGCCAGATCTGAGGTATGAAGCGCCGTCGGTAGCCGTCGGTGACCGAGATGGACCATCTCGTGGTGGACACGTGATGGCGGAGGCCGGAAGGCACCGTCGGCGTGGTGGTAATGAAGGATCTGGCTTGGTCTGGGCGCGAGGCGTCGTGCTGGGGTAGTTCTCTGGCTGAGGTGGTCGGTCAGCGTTGGAGGAGGTAGTTCCTCCTTCGATGGCTGTGTGCGGGTCGTGTTTGTGTGGTGTTCAGGCTAGTGGTCGATGACGGAGAGGGCGCTGGAGGGCCGTGAGAGGTCAGCCGACAGCACGGAGTGCTTTCTCTGTCAGATCTTTGAGTCCCAGCCACGTTTGTGAGGCGTTCTGGAGGAGATCTTGGTCATGGTGCGTGGAGCACATGTCGGGATGATGGATCTGAGCATCGTGGTGCCTGGTGCACACGATGGCGGCGGAGATCTTGGCGTCTCATGGTGCCGTGGGCACATGTTCGCCGTGTGCATTCCTGACCCGACTGCGCCGTGGGCGAGTGGGTTATCTCTCTTCTTTTATCATCTGCTGATGGCTAGATTGGTCATCGATGGTGGTGCGCGTTGCGACTACTGACGGATGGGATACATGGTGTGGACGACAGACTTGTGTCCATATAAATATGTGTATCTGAAGGCGCAGCCCTTCATTGATTGGTCCTCGCATGGATCCATGCACAGTGTATGTCATCATGCACACAACACCCACACGGACACACACAGGCCGAAAGGCCAGGCTTGGCACCCCTGGCTGGCCACACGAGCGCATGCGTTCCTCAGCTGACCCCGCTGGGGCTCGAACACACTCAAATTCTACCACTAGACACCCTGACTGGCTACAGATGCTCGGATGGACACATCGATGCATTGAGAGACACTCAGATCGGATCAGACAGACACGCACTGTATGTGGTGTGCTGTTGGCTTATCATATGGGGTCTTTGGCCATCACAGCCGCACCGCTACAGAGCTGGAAAACCAGTTTTGCACTTGTTTCCTCCTCGTGGTGTGGGTGGGCAGAAAGATACCCACCGACATTTCTTTTTCTCAGGGCGGCTATCATGGGTGCACAGGTACGGCGATGTCCTCAGCGGACAGGATTGGCCAGCATATGGCCGTTATGTTTACGTGTACAGTGTACCAGCTGCATGCACTGTGTCTGTGACGTGTGGGACTCGACTCGTGGCCTCTGTGTATGTGGCTCAGGTACGCTTCTCTGCATGCATTGTGGTCTGTGACGTGTGGGACCTGATAGATGTGACGGATATTCTCCAGATCTTCACTCACATCGTCTGTCACACCGTGTAACGGATGCATGCAGATATCCAGCCCCACTGCAATGAGCATGGCCAACATCATACCAATCGCCAACAAAACCAAGCGTGGATACGATGGGCTAAAACCAAAAGGCCAAACACAATGCCACAGCGTCATGTAGGCGCGATACGGCACACACACGCATCTACACGCATAGCTTGTCTGTCCCCCATTATATCAAATTTTCCCAGTCCGCGGCTGTGTGGGTTGGCTGCGAGTCAGTGTGCGTCAGGTACCGCACAAGCGTGGGTGAGAAGGTCTGTGTGACTTCTTCTGGGTCTAGATCTTGTGGCGTTCGCGTTCCGTCTTTCAGCTTGTCAGGCCTCCAAAAGGCAGAGACGGGCCGGCGGCCAGCGTGAACTGTGCGCCACCTCGGCTGCCGATAGTCGGCGAGCGTGTCGAGCTGCCGTGTCGGAGCAGATCCAGCGCTCAGAGAAGAGGATCAGCTCAAGGTCCGCTAAGGGTAGTCTTTTGGCTTCTTTCATCGGAGGCTTTCATGATGTTATATATGAATGATTCACCGAATGTGGTGAAGGACACAAAGCCGGTTCTCCCTTCTTTCCGGGTGTTTGATTGATGGCTGGCTCATCAGAGCCTTGGAGAGAGGCTGCTAAGATGGGACGGCTTAAGCCGTCCGAATGACATTGCGGTGTTTCCTGGTGCAACACGAAAATGCCAATCCCAAAACTGTTCAATCGTCACATCTCGCCAGGCGGACGGGCCCAAAAGAAAGTCCTTTTGTGCTTCTCAAATGTCTTGTTGGCTTGCATGTTCAGTTGATTGCATCGCCTGGATCAGCCCAGAGCCACGAGTCCGGCAGTACCGACTTGGTACCATCATTGAAGTGCACGACCACATCCACGAGGTCCTCAACGTGAGCAGGGCTCTTCACAGCGGGAACCACACCCTCGATACGTGTGTCCTGCGCAGACAGGCACCAAGTCACAACGTACGTAAGTCCTTATTGTGCTTACGCTTTGAGAGGTGATGCTACACTCGACCCCATCGATGACAAATTTGGTGGCCTTGCGGTGCTTCGGAGGCTTCGTCTCGCCTTGGCCGTTCAAATTGTAGCCACCTGCATACACAGATGCCATCCGTAACATGAAGGTAGTGCGTGCATCCTCACTTACCGATGACGACCTTTTGTGCGAATCGATAGTTGCCCCTCCAGGGTGTGATGTCTAAGCGACCGAGCAACAAGCGCACGGACATGCATGAGCGTTGGAGCAAGCCATCTTTAAATGGCATCTTCATTCACCGAATGCCGTGGGTCCGGGGTTAGACTTGGCGTCCTCGTCGTCGGCCGTGATGTGCTTGAGATTATTGTACGTGTAATCCAACGTCAAGATGCTGCACCCTGGGCCGTACACCACCTGCAAACCATGCGTATCGTGTCCGTGTGTCTCTCTGTGCGTCGTGCGTACCTCCAGTCCGCCAACTTCAGCTCCCTCGAGTTTTGAAATCGTAACGTCCTCTCCCTCCTCCTCGTCCAGGTAGGGAATGTCAACCCGCCAGATCCAGCCGTTCCACTTGGCGCCCAGCAAGTCACCACGCATCGCGCCGGCAAAGCAATTGCCTGTAAAGATTGCATGCAGAGGATAATGCAGTGCCGATCTGTTCTGTAACCCTGAACTCCGCG